TCAAAAGCTTACAAAAGTAGAATGCCTTGCTTCATTTTATTTGGCATAGCCACAAAGCATAATGTCCGATTTTAGTTCTTTGGGTTAGATGTTCATATAGCTGTTTTTAGATTCTCTTGCCTCCTGGGTCGGGGGTGGGTGAGAGCTGTGCTGTATTGCAGCCCACTTATTTTAATATCCAAATGGTAGGGTAGTTTCAGCACCCTACACAAATCATTCATGAAACACCCTTTTAGTACAGAGTAAAAATGCATAGTTCTCATGGGAAGCTTTCTGGAGTATCTTGCCAGGGTGCCACAGGGCACAACTGAACACTGTAGTGAGAAATGGAAGAATTGGTAGTAGCATGTGTGTTTGACAGGCAGAGAGCTGAGGATGGCAGGCCAATCTGCCATGTTCCATTCCAACAAATGTCCTTTAGAGAGGTGACATGTTTTCTGAGCCTCTCTCTACTAGGTACTGTGAAGAATAAGAGGGGAATCATTGGATTGTTCATATAATCATTTGCATATTTAGTCAGTCAGCCAGCCAATCAATCATCAGGTTCTTATTGGTCACCTATAACATGTTAGACACTAATAGATATAAATTCATTAAGAATAGAAAATCAATGTTGTGCTGGTTGTCAATTTGACAAGCCGAGACACACCTGGGAAGAGAAAAATCTCAGTTCAGGAATTGCCTCCATCAGACTGGCCTGTGGCCATGTCTGTGAGGCATTTTCTTGATTGCTAATTGATGTAGGAGGGCCAAGTCCAATGCCATCATAGAGAGATGGGCCAGGACTATAAAGGAAAGGTAGATAAGGAAGCCAGAGGGAACAAGCCAGTGAGCAGCATTCCTCTGTGGTTTCTGCTTCAGTTCCTGCGTTGAGTTCCTGTTCCCTCCATTAGGACGGACGGTAAGCTCTAAGATGAAACAGGCCCTCTTCTCCCCAAGTTACCTTTGGTATCGGTGTTTAGGGTATCAATAGAGAGCAAACTAGGACAGGTGTGAAAGTATTTTACAATATACAATGTGTTGTATACAATATACAACGTAAGACAGGCATGATCCTCAAACTCAGAAAGTTGTTTAATTGCACAGAGGCATGTTAACAGTGTTTTGTCATTAGAACACAATACCCAAGGCAAGTTACTTAGGATGAAAAGAGGTTCACAGTTTTGAAGGTTCACAGTCTATGACCGAGTGGGCCTCAGATGAGAGCCTAACTGCAGACACCAACAATCTACAGTGAGAGGAGTGGGAGTTAGGGAGAGCGAGAGCCACAGAGACAACAGGAAGTCAGAGAGCAAGAGGAGGAGCTGGGCTCCTGGAAGGACCCTCCCCAGGGAATTGAGCCTATCAAGATTTAAGACTTGGAACAATATTTTTGTTGTTGTTGAGGTCTCTCTATGTAGCCTTGGCTGGTTTTGAACTCAACGTGTTGACTAGGCGGCCTTTGAACTCACAGAGATCCACCTGCCCCTGCCTCCCATGTGCTGGAATTAAAGGCATGGGCTGCCACAACTTGGGGACCGCTTGGGACATTTTTTATAAAGTGCTGCTTAGAGAATGAGCCCTCCATGACTTTAAAAGGGTAATTTATTCAGCAAATGCTTTTTATTTCAATTCTTTATTCTGATAAATGTTCTAATATGATACAGAACGATGGCCTTTCTGGTATAGAATATGAAGCTTTTTTTTTTTTTTTTCTTTTCCGTTTAGTGGTCCAACATCTTTCGGTGTCTCACATTTCTCATTCTGGACACCGGCTGCCCTTAGACAAGGCTATAGATAAGAAAGACGTGGGCGTTTGAGATGAATGTGTACTGACATCAGAGATTCCTTGACAACAAGCGCAAAGTCCCCTCAGATGAAAATGTATATGTGGATGTCGTTGTCTCTTCTAAAAAGAGAAGTTTAAAAATATCAATTTATTACAGATCCGAGATAGTCTGGAATCTACATTTCTCACTCTGCTTATAATTTACAGAGTTCATATTGTTCTCATAATTCTCATGCCCTGGTTTTCTGTGTCTTTCAAGAAGCTGCAGTCCTATCTTAGAAAGTCTTCCATGTTCTTAGAGCCAAAGAATTAGGGAATCTGGCAGCTTGTGAATCTGGATGCAGCTGTCACTCCCCAGCTGCTTGAGACAAAAAAGTTTGCTTCTTCAGAATGCGCACAATTAGCCGAAATCTCAGCTCAATTCAACAAAACATATAAATTACTCACACTCATTTTCAATATAGTCTTAGATTTCTAAAGGGTCGTAACAAATGATTACCACCTGGAATCAGAAGCCTTGAAAAATGAATTTTGTTTCAGTGGGTCCGAACATTTCTTGGGAGTCTCCGACACTGCTGTGATGAGGCAGAAATGAAGAGAAACAACGTAAGTCGGTGACAAATATAGAAAATGTTCTTCGGACTGAATGAGCGTGTGCATGCTTTTCTGTTTCCATCTGGATCCCTTTCAGTGTGATTGCTTATTTTTAGGTTGGCATTTTCGACGGGGGATGAAATGGCTTCAGGAAACGATGCGAAAGGTTAAGATGATGGATGAGAAGTGTAATTTGAGAGCTGTCTGAAGGGAAACACAGCCTCAGTTTTCATGTTCGATATATCTCTTGGGGGGAGGCACCCTAGATAGATGTATTTCTGCTAAGCTAATGTCTTTGAATCCTGTAAACTCATGTAGCCAGCTGCAGTGTAAAGGGTTGTAGGAGAAAGTGTAGAACTTGGAAGACCCAAGGACGGGAAAGGGCTGTCACTGAACCATGAAGCAGGATCTGTGAACTGTGTCCGAGCCACGGGAATCACGCGGCATGACAAATGAGTGAGAACAATGGGTAATTTACTGTGCTGCTTCTTGGTGAAGCTGGACAAGCTACCAACACTAACTCCCCGCACACTCTTCGAAGTATCACCGAGGAAGAGCATCCTGAGAATTTGCACACATAGTTACTATTTTCCTAACATTTTTTGAGAAGTCCGAGTTATTTTAGAAAGCTTCCTATTGTCTTAACTCCTTTTTGTAGCGTTGAATGAAAGTTAGTTCTTACTGTGCCTTTATGAATTCGTTTTCTCCCCAGAATTCTTTTATGATGAGTAAGAAAATTTCTAAGACCATTTACAACCCCACAAAAACCTTCCCCAGTCTCTTTTTAAATTTTTTATTTATTTATGTATATGTGTTCAGTTTCCAGCACCCACATGGTAGCTCAGAAACATGGACCTACACACGCCCAGGCAGGCACACACAATAAATTACTTTTTAAAAATTCTTAAAAGACAATGAATAAAAGATTGGTGTGAAGTGTTATAGGTCAAAGGTCTTTTCTTTGTCCAGTGTCAACATGTCTGGTACAGTCACCCATGGAACCCCATGGATGGTAAGTAATAGAAAGTGACATAAAATTAGTAGAAGACAGTTGGATTGCTGCCTAAAACTTACATTTAGTGAAACGTCAGGGGCAGGACCATACATACCTTTTCTTCAGGGTTGTGGTTCCCGGTAGATTGTCTATGCTTCATTGGATGGCCCTACACCATTGCATACGGATACAGTAACTGGACTCAGGGCCTTACCAAAAAATGAAGAAGGGGATGGAGTTGGGAAAGGAATGTAAGTACTCTTCAAAGAGTTGAAATTGGGGGCTGGGGAGTGCATATGGTCAAGTAACATACAATACATGTATGAAATCCTCGCAAAATATTTTAAGAGAAATGTATGCCCCAAAGCACAAAAAAACAGATGATGCAGAACATCATCGCAGCTGAATTTCATAAGGGCCAAGCAAGTAAATTGCTGCCAATCGAAGGAATTCCTTTCATGTGTTGATGCAGACATCATTCGTGGTGACATCATTTACTTTTCAAAAGATGATTAAGTCAAGGCCAAATGTTGAAAAGATGTTATGATTTGCAACACGTTACTGTGTTATTTAGTGTACCAAAACAATTTCTGTGCCAGAACCAGACGGCAATAGCTGACTTTGAAATTTTGCATTTTTAGTGGATTCTGCTAACCGGAGGGACTTGGACATGTGTCCCCAAGGTGAAAACCAACTTATCAGTATAAATTAATATAATCACATCAATTAAAAGATAAAGCATAGCAATCATTTCAAATGAAACTGGGGATCCTAAACGAAGGTAAAGAGGTTTACATTTCAACATGTTAGCTAAACACAATCCTGTGAACATGGAAAAATACCTAACCTTGCTTTCTGATTTGATTTTAAGATTTCTGGGGAATATGGAGCTGGAGAGATGGCTTAGCAGGTAAGAGCACTTGTTGCTATCGCAAAGGACGTGGGTTCTGTTCCCAAGCACCCACACGGTGGCTCACAACCATCTGTAACTCTAGCTCTGGGGAACCTGACACCACCTTCCTTCCTCTTAGGCATGCGTGTGATACACAAACATATACGCAGGCAAAACACTCGTACATATAGAATAAACTAAAAAACCTAAATAATCATAATAATATTTCTGGGAAATAATTGCTACTTTGATATGTTTGTGACTCCATTTTCTTTTATTTTTTAATTTGAGTTAACATGATGCTGTGCCAAAAATAAACAACAACAACAACAAAACAAAACAAAGCCAAAAAAAAAGCAAAACAGCCCCCAAGAAAACATAAAAACCAAATCTTGCGCAATCTACATGCTATGAAAATACCCTGACTAAAATGTCGGTTGTGCTACCCAGTTCCACCTCAGCGCAGAAATGCATCGATTTGATGTACCGTTGTTGCTTTCAAGGACTTCAGCGCTTTTTGTTTCTAGATTATCACCTTGCTTTGAGATGATGAATAACCGCTACCAAATCACAAATCACCACAAACCCATTTTAGTTTGGTCTGAATAAAATCCAGCAGACATGTATGACGTCATTCTGGACTGAAGCTGCACAAAAAGAGACAGTGAAGTGTGCCTTTCTGATTTCCTTTCAAGTCTCCAGATCTTGCTAGGACACTTCTCTGAGACGGTGGTGTCGTGGAGCTTTAAACATCAGCCGAGTTTGGTGATCTGGAGGTCCCCACTGATCTTGATGGTGTTGATGGCAGACAGTGTTTGAATACGGTGGTAAAAATCGAACAGTTGGCGCCCATCCACCAACACTCGGAAACACGGGTGCTCGCAGAGAATCTCCACCCTGAACGGCTGGTCTGAAATGAACGGGAAGTACGGGATGGCTGACTGCTCTTGGCCCCTTTCTCCTGCCACACACGAGTTTCGCAGGACCCGCCGGCCTGGGAACACGGCCTTGAGTTCCATGGCCACGTCGGCAGGAGGGTCTTCCGAGTCCCCGCAGGTCAAGCTGATGGCAAAGCTTTCCGGGTTGAGATCCACGATGCCCATCACTAAGACCTTCTTGCCTGGTCGCATGCCGCCGTTGATGTGCCCGCAAAACGGAACTATCAGTTGTGGGGAGGACGCGTCGGCTTGGACTGGGGCACCCGGGGAGCAGTGGAAGGGCCCTTCGTCGAGTTTCCACATGGTGGCGTCGCCTTCGGCCATCGACGCGTCGGGGCCGCGGCGGGCCGCGCCTGCCAACGTTCAAACAGGCCGCAGAGCTGCGGTCCGATCAAAAGGCCGCTTACAAAACCCACCCAGAGTCCGTCCACCTCGAAACAAATATCCCCCACTTCTCAACCGCGCTCCATTCCTGTCCTTGCCTCTCGGCAGGACAGGAATATTACACACACACACACACACACACACACACACACACACACACACACACACACACACACATATATATATTTGAAAATAAATGAGGTTTTATCACTTATGCGTGTCCATTTTCTTTATCGGTGATCACAGACTTGGGACCTGCTTTGAGATCTCCAAAGATGCACTTTCTCAACAGGGCAGCCCACGGTCAGGGTGATACTTATCTGTGGTGGCAGGCGTCACAGAGATTATATGTCAATCTGGTTTCTGTTCGCCAGCTCTTTTTAGTGTTTGTGTATTTACTATGTGACCCAAGACCATTCTTATTGTCTGCGGTGGCCCACAGAAGTCTAAAGGTTGGTCACGAGGTCTTCTCTCTGCAGGCTACCTCATCCCAGCCTGAGGTCAGTCTCCCTGGAAGCACACTCAGCCAGGCACCTTGTCTCTGCTTGAACTCTGCTTGAAATGGGAGTCCAGTTAGACGGAATGATTTTCATTCCTGCCTGCAGCACAGACCCTCACACACACACACACACACACACACACACACACACACACACACAGTCCTGCACAGGGTTCTGTCATTGACTAAGCATGATCTTCCAGAGCTGACACAAACTAGAGGACACTGTTCAAGGCCCATCAGGGGTCCTCTTCCTTACCCTTCCTTCTCCCCTCTCCCTCCCTCCACCCCTTCCTACCCAAAGCCTCAGGGTTCCTTCAGGGAGACAGGCCCTATAGTACATGCTGGAATTATAAAGTTAATAATCTCTACCCGCATTCACATTCCCTGCCTTGAAAAACATGAGAACAAATGGAGTGCCTCGTATCCATGCACTTGTTCAATAGTTTTGATTTTTCTGGTTGTATTGAGCATCAGGAGCAACGAGTTCATTTGCTCTCCACCTCTTATACCAGCTACTTAAAGCATTTAAGAGGAGCTTTAGGGAAAGGGTGTCATTTAAACAGCTGTAAATTAAGTTGGTATGATGGCACTCACATTTGGCCCCAGCACTTGGGAGGCAGGCAGATCCGACAGTGACTTTGAGGCCAGCCACAGCTATATAGTGAGACCTTGCCTCAAAGAACAAATAAACAATAAAAAATGAAACAAAAGAGTTGCAAGTTAGGTCAGGTGTCTCATCCGGTCCTGCTACCAAGCCTGACAACTGTGTGGAACTCAGGTTCCACACAGAGAGAAGAAAGAACCGCTCCTTCAAGTTGCCTTTTGGCTCCCGCACACATGTGCACACACAAGTATAAATTAATGTAAAAAAAAAAAAATAGGTTTTTAAAAGGAGCCTCTGGTTAGCCAGCCCAATCAAGTCTCCAGGATAGTATTTTATTCCTCTCATGTTTGCTTACTAACTTAAAATTATTTTTATTTTCAGTGGCTGGAGATGTAGCTCAGGGGTAGAGCACTTACCTAGCATGTACAAGGTCCGAAGTTCAATCCTTAGCACCAAAAAAAAGAAATTAATAAGTATAATTTTTAAATTTTAAAATAATTACAGCCTCACAAGAAGTTGCAAAAAAAAAATAATAATAATGCAGAGTCTCTTAAACCCAACTCTCCCCAAAGGTGACACCCAACATGACTGCAATAAAATACCAAACCCAGGAAACTAAGATTGGTAAAATATTTATTCGGATTTTTAATAGTATCCACGCGCACTAATTTGTGCGTGTGCCTGTGTGTACAGTTTGGCGCCGCAGATAGATCATATTACCGCCACAATAATCAGCATGTGGAAAGGCTGTATCACAGAAGGCCAACTCCAGCTTTAGAGTCACACCTCCCTGTCACCCGACAGCCAACAGTCTGCTCTCCACTCGGCAACTGTGTCGCCTGAGGGTGTTATATAAGCGGAACCATACAGTGTCTGACCTTTTGACATTGCCTCTGTCTGATCCTTCCGAGTTGCATGTGCTAGCACTGTCCATTCCTTTCCCTGCTGAGTAGTTGGCCATGGTGAAGATTCCAGAGTGTCCTTAACCAGTCATCCACTGAAGGGCAACTGAGCTGTTACTAGTTTTCTCCCCAAGTTAAATGAAGCTACTTTAAACGCTCATGTGCAGTTTTTGTGTGATGTTAAGTTTTCAGTTCTCTGAAATGAATTTCTAAAAGAAAAATTTCCTAAAGTAAGTTCAAGGCTAATTTTATTTTGTTTTATTATTATTATTTTGGCTTGTAGAGACAGGGTTTCTCTGTGTAACAGAGCTATGGCCCTCCTGGACTTGCTTTGTAGACCAAGCTGGCCTCGAACTCACAGAGATCTGCTTGTCTCTGCCTGGAATCAAAGGTATCACCCCCACCCCCAGCTTTATCTTATTTTTAAAATATCCTGTTTGACAGCCTTTAATAACAGCTTATCGTCCACTCTGTGGGCACTGTAAATCTAGCCAAGAACTCATGGCTGGGGAGCCTACAGGCCCCGGGGTGAACCTCCTGATATTCTGCCCTCTAAACTCCTATCTCTCTACCCATAGATTAGTGCAGCTCTCAGACCTCATCACAAATGTTCCTTTGAGCAGTGGATGATGGGTAATGAAGAACTCACGACAGTGGTCGAAGTGCAGAGCATAAGTGTCAGAGGGTTGTTCAGTTACAAACACTGACACTCAGGGAGCATCCGGGAAGAAAGCCTGGAAAGATTCTAAGAGCCAGAGGAGGCTGAAGCAAAACAAATGGCAGGGCTGCACTCATGAACACACCGAAGCTGTGACCTCACGCACACATGCATGCACAAGGCCTCACCAGTCAACATTCCAGCTCAAAGTAGGGAAGGCTTTAGGAGCCCAACCACTGAGGACCTAGTGACAGCCCGTGGCTTTTGAGGGCAGAAGAATCCATTTTCTTATGGTCTTGGTGTGTCAACAACCATCCTCCAGGGAATGGCCTCACACCAGTAAGTAGATAAATTGCATATATTGGACTCATTGGGCTATTGAGGGGGAGGGGGAAAAGGAAGACACAAAGTTGGAAAAGGATTGGGAGTTGGGAGTAAATCTGGAAGGAGTTGGGAGGGAGAATGGGATGAATATTATCAAAGTACATTCTATGACATTCCCAAAGAATTAATAAAATCTTAAAGTGTATTTTTAAAACCATATCGGGGTAGAATTGAACATGGTACTAGATGTGTGTAAAGTATTCAGCTTAACAGGCTTTGGTCAAAGTACTACGTCATCACCACAGTAGAAACGGCAGCTAACTCTTGCCCACCAAAGGCTTTCTTGTGGTTCTCTGCAATCCATTACCTGCCCCTACATCTCACCCCAAGGCAACCAGCAATCTTTCTGTTACTATAAATTATTTTGCATTTCTAGAAGTTGTTATAAATGGAACCATATTCTTGGCGGTGAGGGTAGCTCTGACTTCTTTCATTCAGCATGATTATTTTGATATTCATACATGTTATCATGTGTATTGATTATTCCTTTTTCATCAAGTTACTATTTCACTGTATTGGTATCTAGACTGAGGAGATGAGACCCAAGGGAAACACAAAATGCATTTATGTTTTCTGTGCACCTTATACACATAGCCTGAAGGTGATTTTACAACATTTTCAGTGAACCTGGGTTTGTCTGTGACTTATCACCTCACATCAAAGTACAGAATTTTCTGTTTACAGCATACTGTAAGCTTTCATAATGTTTCAAATTTCATAGCATTTCAAACTCTGGGCTTTCAGATGAGTTGTACTATCATTTGTTTATCTGTTCATCGATTGGTGAATACATCTGGTTGTTTACAGTTTGGAACGACTGAGAATAAAGCTGCCATGAACGGGCAAACCACCAAGAAAAGGAGGAAAAGTAAGGGTGCTGGTTTTTGCCAGCGAACATTTCAGAATGAAAAGATTCTGCTAGAGTAGCACCTTTCTTGTATAAAGCTCTCTCTGCTCACAAAGCTCTTTCACCTTCACTGTTGTTTCCGGCTTAACACGGTGCTAGTTCCTGGGACTGGGTCGGATGTTGCTCTCACCATTTCACAGGTGGGCAGATGCTCAGACATACCTATGTCACACAAGCTTGGATTTCAAATTGTTCCCATGAACATAATACCTCAACCATCCAGGAATCAGGGGTTGGGGTTGGGATTTCAGATTACCCACCTTAAGAGATGTTATTCTATTTGAGACAGTCTCATGGCCTGACCTCAAACTTGCTATGTATCTTTGGATGATCTTGAACTTCTGATCTTCTTCCCACTACCTCTGGAATGCTGAAATGACAAGTATGTACCACCATGCTGGGTTAGTATGGTGGCGGTGGCGTCAAACCTAGTCCTTCATGAATGCTAGGCTAGCAACTGACTGCTCTACAACCCCAAGAAATTCTAATGTGCACACAAACCCAATTGCTTTCACGAATCATCCAACCTGCTTATTTAAATCATTTGGGGAAGACTAAAGAAAATTAGCTACCACTACTAATTTGTCAGATTCTCCCAGGATACAAAAGATATTGTGTCTTGAATTGGGAGGATTTAATAGTCTTTTTTTTTTTTTTTCTTCTACTTCTTACAAACACATTAGCATTTATAAGCAGGAAGTCCCTGGTGGAATATGATGATCCTGAGACATCTTCTCACATTGAGAGACAAAGGGAACTTTTCAACAAATCTTGTGTGCTGTGTGTGTGTGTGTGTGTGTGTGTGTGTGTGTGTGCTGTGTGTGTGTGTCTGTGTAATGAGGGGAGGGTTGCACACATGCCATATAACCTGTGTGGGGGTCACAGGAGAACCTCACATCAGCCCATCTTCTACTTTAAAGACAGACTCTGTCTTGTTCATTGCTGTGTGCACCAGGCTAACTGGCCAGTGAGCTTCCTAGGAC